ATGTGTGGAAACATCTAAGTGGGGGTGGGATGGCAGCATAGAGTGTGATGATGGTAAAAAAAGATGACTAGAAATAAGTTTAGCCTATAATTATCTATTGATAATTTTTTTAAAAAGAAAAGTTGAAAACGACAGACTTTTTTAAGGGAAAGATAAAAAAAAATCATCTGTTGAATAGCCCTGAGGGTGAGGTGGAGTCAATATACATATATATAATTGGCTTTTACTATCAATGCAAGACGAAATCGGAATTCATGTATGCATACACATATACGTACATACATATAAACACACTTTCACATTTTTGTATAGAAGTGCTTCGACTTAAATCTTTTTCATTTTCTTTCTATGTTGCGTTCTCAATCTGGATAACGGTTGTTCATGTATTTAATTGTAAAAACTTATTTTCTCTTTCTCTGTTAATTTTTATCGCCACGAGTCATATTTAACAAAATAGTAACTATGTTAATGTATCAGGACAATGAGACTCGTTAAGTCTGTCTACTCGTGAATGTATGCGCGTGTGTAAAATGAGCATGAAAATCGTCAGATTACATACTTATTATCGATTATGTGAAATCTTTATACCTTATATGAAGAAGTTGAAATTAAAATGTGAGCTCAATTGGTATTACAATTTTAACGAATTTCTAGTAGGATTTTCTTTCCTAACTTCCTTAAAAACACTTTTGTCGTGTAAAAGCAGTGAGTATGACTACTCTGGTAAAAATAATATATACATAATGCAATAAGAGAGCTAACTCTCCCCACCTTTTTCAGTACAATGGATCCTAATACTGAACAATGGGTGTATGTTCTTTTTAAAAAAATCCTAATTTAGAATACGACAAGAATGTGTACACAACATATCAGAAGTTCAGAAGTTTTTCAATAATTCATTTATAAACATTAGTTCATGAAATTTGGACATTATGTCTATATTAAATTCTCCAATAATTGTTAGTTCTAGTGTAGAAAGTAACACGTAGTCAAATAAAAATATTTTTCAATATACTTGTATCCGAAACATATTAAATACAGAGGTTTAATGCACTTGGAATTTATTAAGATCACGAACCAAACAACCTTTGAAATTTTGGAAGTACCGGATGGTTATGTCGTTCTAACATGGGTCTCTTTATTAGTATACATACACGACCCCATAGACGGAAATCCAACCCGGAACCCTCACTTTCGCGCACGAAAACTCAATCTTTAAACTACTGAACTGAGATCTAATAGTGTGCAATTAAGTAAATACTAGTGTTATTTCTCAGCTCCTAGAATCCATGAATAGGTATATTGGAAGTCCTAAGTTAATCGCTTCATAACAACTATATCGTTGATTCATATAGCGAAATACTAATTAGTGTTGCATGAAATAAACAGCAACAATACAACAATTCAAAAAGACAATATTATAATTGACTTCAGATCAATTCATTAAAATCAACCACCCAGTAACTTGATCATATATATTATTATCAGAAGGGGTTTGTGGAGATTTTAGAAATTTCGCAGATTGAAATCATGAGTCAATTGAAGCTAGACCACCATGGAAATCCTGAAAGCACTGGACGGCCGTTTCGTTCTAGTATAGGAATCCTTAGCAGTGCTGAAGTTAGACATTAACACCGCTGAATGCCGGCGCAGTAGTCTTGTTGGCTAAGCGCCTGGCGCAAGACTAATAAGTCCTAGGTTCGAGTCTCGCAGGAGGGCGAGATCGTGGATACACACTGCCGAGGAGTCGCACGCTGGGACGAAACGGCCGTTCAGTGCTTCCAGGTTTTCTATAGTGATCTATCTTCAATTGACTCATGATTTCAACTATTAGTATTACAGACTTTATTGATTTGTGACTGTAGGTCTTAAAAGTGAAATTAAAAACACATTTTTTACTGAAATATTCTTTGTTTCTGGATTTAATATGAATATGTTCAAATCATTTGTTATTCAGATAATTAGTTTTGAAATTAAATTAGAAGTATATATAAATTTATGGTTTAGTATTTCCAAACCCTAGTTCACCTTATTATTATTTCTTTTTTCATGTACAGACTTATTCTTGACTTATACTTACTTGCTTACTTACTTACGTCTGTTACTCCTCGTCGAGGAGCATAGGCCGCTCACCAGCATTCCCCATCCAACCCTGTCTTGGGCAATCCTTTCTAGCTCGTTCCAGTTGTTATTAATCCTCTTCATATCTGCTTCTATTTCTCGACGTAATGTGTTCTTTGGCCTTCCTCTTTTCCACTTCCCTTCAGGATTCCAAGTTAGTACTTGCCCCGTGATGCAGTTTGATGGTTTCCGCAATGTATATCTTATCCATTTCCATCGTATTTTCCTAATTCCCTCTTCAGCTGGAAGTTGGTTTGTTCTTTCCCAGAAAAGGCTGTTGCTGATGGTATCCGGCCAGTGGATATTGAGTATCTTACGTAGGCAGCTGTTTATAAATACTTGTACCTTCTTGATGGTGGTTGTTGTAGTTCTGGAAGTTTCAGCTCCGTACAGTATTGAAAATTCTCACTTTGATATTGGTCGAGAGATTCTTGACATTGTAAACTGTTTATACAGAAGTAAAGTTAACATGTTTTGAATTTACAACTGTCTAAAAGTTGAGTGCTTTAATCGCTAAAACATTGTCTCATTTACACATACATTGGTTTGAACAACTAGGAAAGATCATTAAACCTCAACCAATGTGATCAAAAAGTTGAACATATAAATACATACTTGGTTAAATAAGTTATAAGATATTGAAGTTCTTTGTAATCTATAGTTGGGTAAAATAGGTATTGTTTTATTTAGTGTTCAAGTATTTTCGTCTTCCTTTACGTTTTAAGTTTCCTCACTTCCTGATAATACTTCAGCAATTAATATTTTTTTCGAATTGTATCTCTGATGTCTAATGACTTTTTTTGTTATAATTATTGTTGCTACCTCTACTACTATGAGATTTGCCTCAACAATATTATATTGCTATGCTAATAGTGTATGGCAATTTGAACCAATGTACACATATGTCAGATTCTACTATTAACTTTGACTGATTGACTAATTTAGATTTTAAATGTTAAATTATTGATTTGTTGTATACAAGTATACAGTTCAGCGTACCCCTTAAATAATGACCCAAATGTGTCAGAATTAAGTAGATTCTACTATGAATTTCTCAATGAATTAAAATCAACATTGACCATATTATTGCTTCAATAATCTATTTATAATCTAATTCAAAAATGAAGAATATTTGAGCGAACAATTGTTTTCAATAACTTCATCATCAAGCTCTACAGTTATAATCAGAATGGGTTTTGTGGAGATCTTAGAAAGTTCACTGGTTGAAATCATGAATCAGTTGAAGCTAGACCACCATGGAAAACATGGAAGCACTGAACGGCCGTTTGGTCCTAGTACAGTTATAAGTCTATATTTATGACATTTTACAAATGCCAAAACTAAGGCATATATTAATGAATTTGACAACGTTATGTGTTATAAATGGTAGAGTATAATGATGAAGTTACTGAAAACAATTGTTCGCTCAAATATTCTTCATTTTTGAATAGTCTATGGGGATTTTTAAATTGCTGATATCATATAATTGTACATTATTAGAAATTTTTAAAGTTTGAAGAATTGATATTAAAGTGTTAATTTGTAACTTCTCGACCTTGAGTATGCGGATGATATTGTCTTACTGTGCGATAATGCCCAACGCATGCAATCCACACTTAATCGGTTAGCAATCAGTGTCCGTAAGTATGGGTATGTGCTTTGCACATTCGAAGTGCAAAGTACTTCTACAAGACTGGCAGGATTCTAATCCTGTACTCACCCTGAATGGTGAGCAAATAGAAGTAGTCAAGAAGTTCGTGTATCTCGGTAGCTGCATGAGTGCTGGTGGTGGCGTGAGTGATGAGATCAATGCACGTATGGTGAAAGCCAGAGCGGCTTATGCCAATCTAGGCCACCTTCGTGATGTCAGTCTGACTGTAAAAGTTCGGATCTACGACGCGTCGGTGAGAGCAGTTTTGCTCTATACTTGTGAAACCTGGCCTCTCCGAGTTGAGGATCTTAGATGACTCTCTGTGTTTGATCATCGTTGTCTCCGAAGGATTGCTGACATCCAGTGGCAAAACCGTGTCAGTAGTGCAGAGGTTCGGCATCGTGTGTTCGGGCACAATGACGATAATGCAATTGGTGTCACAATCTTGAAACATCGACTACGGTGGCTTGAAAATGTTCTAAGAATGTCGCCTCAGCGAATTCCACGTCGTGCACTATATGCCGACTCTGGAACCGGTTGGAAAAAGCCGAGAGGTGGTCAGTGTATGACATGGTGTCGTGGCTTGTGTTGGTCCTTCACTACTCCCTGGCTGGGGTTCTAGAGATGGTGCAACACAGTGGCTAGAGACGTTACCAGATATGGCTCACAGTAGAAGCCCGTAACCTTCTGTAACCTTCTTTTACTTTCTTCATGGAAAGTGGTTGTATCTTCCTTAGCTGAAAGATTTCTTCTGATTGTACCTTTCCGTTTCTCCAATTATTGCTGTTATTATTATTACACTACCTTACACTAATCTGTTCGTTATTGTTCTTTTTTTCTCTTCAAATTCTCATTGTTTCGTGTAGCGCATACATATTTGGTGCCCTCTTGTAACAATATTTATGTGTTTAAATAAATAAATAAATAAATAAACTCCTTCATAGTCTCTATATATTTTTCATCGAGTTCATGATCACATTGTATTGTGATTGAACACGATACAAGTACAAAATTGAATTAGAATATAATAGTCTCCATTGTGTAACCATTCCATCATTCAAAATTGATTCATTAATGAAATTAACTCTTAAGTGTTACATATTTTTTTTTTGGAGATTTTCCAGTTCAATATTAACTTATTATACTTTAAACTAAATAAATTACTCAGTAACCATATATTAACCTATTTATCTCACTCTTTCTCTTTTACACATATTTCTTACTTTAGACGATGAATCACAACATTCACCAATCTCATCATCAATGGATTATTTCTCTCAAACAAATTCCATTTCACCACAAGACGATAATGTATCACAAATAAATGTCTATAATAGTAATAATAATAATAATGATAATAATATTAATAATACTGATAATAATAATAATATTATCATAAAGAATAAAAAAATACGTAAACCGCGTACAATTTATTCCATATGGCAATTACAAATGTTAAATCGACGTTTTGTTCATTCCCAGTATTTAAATTTAACAGAACGTGCAAGTTTAGCATCACAACTTGGCTTAACACAAACACAAGTAAGTATATATCTTCTAAAAAAAAGTATCTATCTTGATTATATCATAATCATATATGAGAATAATTTTCATTATGAAATGAAAACAATAACAAAACTTTTGTAAATTATTCATGTTGAATTGAGATCATGAGTCAATTGAAGCTAGATCACCATAGAAAACCTGAAAGCATTGGATGGCCGTTTCGTCTCATTGTGGAGCTCTTCAGCAGTGCGCATGCACGATCCCACCCTCCAAGAGATTCGAAACCAGGACCCACAAGTCCCACGCAAGAGTGCTTAACCACTAGACCACTGGGCCGGCATATATAATTTTTTTTATAGAGTTTACCAACCCGTTTTTGTTTTACTTGAGATCGAGGAAGTGTGCTTTTTATGTTGACTGACCAGTAAAACAAATTTATGAGTAAATATCATTGGTGATAACATTGAATATTTGTTATGGAATAGCATGATAATTTCAGGCATCATGTTTAGATTGAGTTGTTCTTAGTGAATGTGAGTTAACATGAAATGATGGATGGATTATCAATATATATATATATATATATATATATATATATATATATATATATATATATATATATATATATATATATATATATATATATATATTGTTTCCATTATCTAGGATTATCTTAATGTAATGAAACTCAAGTAACAAAAAGTGATTTGTAATATCAGTTTCGATCATATTTCTTTAAATGTATGTATGTTTGTGGAATTACCCACCTATCTAGACTAGAACGTAATTTAACCATCCTTAAACAATCGTTTATTTTTTTATTGAGATCATGAACCAATTGATGTTAGACCATCACAAGTAAAAGCCTGAAAGCACTGGATGGCCGTTTCGTCCTATTGTGGGATTCCTCAGCAGCGCGCACCCACAATCCCGCCCGCGGGGTTCGAACCCAGGGCCTCCGGTCTCGCGCGCGAACACTTAACCAACTGGACCACTGAGCCGGCATCCAATGGTGATAGTTTCTAACATCAACCAATCGTTTATTTATCCACATAATAATTAGACAAGTTAATCAATATATGATTATAAATAAAAATTTCATTCTATAGTTCATTTCAACAAAATCTGTACTAATCAACTTAAATCTTAATCAATTTTTGATCTACCTGTGAGTTGAACATTGATTGATCGGATTAAAAGGAACTTGTTTATTCGCTTCATCAATAATCATCCTTACCTACACGTGTATACACAACTGTTTAAATGTGTATATCAAAAACAAAAGTTCGAATGAGTTCAGTAATACTATTGATTGGTTTATTTAGAAAAATGAATCAGTTGTATAAATTATCCTACTCTTTACAATACACACAATTTGTATATGAAGAACGAGTTGAAGGTTAACATTGATTATGAACTGCCATAATTATGTAATCATGAATAATTGTGAAAGATTTATGGTAGAAGTATACATATGTTTGACCATCTGTTTAGTTAATGTCGAATTAAATATGTTACCTTAAAGTAAAATCGTTCTTCTTTGAATTGTCACGACATTATCATCTAGATGATGATGATGATGATGACCGGGATGACAACAACAATGTTATTGATGAAATGCACGAAATATTAGAAATAATCAACAGTCATAATGAAAATTCTTTTCTCTTTTTTTTCTGTCAAAATATCCTTATGAATAATGTTGCAACAAACAAACGGTGTGTGTGCGTGTGCATGTTTGTTATATTTCTTTAACAGAAGTGAAATAGTTTTAGGATCATGAACTATTTGAATGTAAATATTACTAAACGTATATGATCTGTCATCATAAATACAACTGATTTGTTTAGAAATCTGTGATTGTATAATCCAAGCATTCATATTTGAACTTGAGAAATTTGAAAATCGATCTTATTATCCGGTTGATTTAGTTAATATTAATATAATGTAATGTATAAATTATAAGTTTATATTGAGACTTTGAACCTATGAATGTTAGATCATCATTAAAAATCTAGAAGCACTGAACAGTCGTTTCATCCTTAAGTGGTGTGCATTCATGATCCCACATACTGTACTCGAACGCACGTCCTCCACCCTTGTGCAAACACTTGACATCTAGACCAATGAATTGGCATCTAACGGTGTTAATGTTTACATTTAACCACAACATTGTGCAACTACTTTCCATTATCTTTGGTGGCTAACTGTCGATTCGGTTGTATTCCACTAGTCATGGCTTCTCACTATAACTACGAAAATGACTCCTAAAAGCTATTCACTTTTGAGTACATGATAATTATCAGTATAAGGTGGTCGAGTAATTATTGAAATCATGAACCAATCAATGTTAGACTATCACGGAGAACCTGGAAGCACTGGACATCCGTTTTGTTTTAATATGGAACGATTAAACCATTCAACTCCAACAACATAACACTCTCATAAACATCATCATGAGCTATAAATATTCCTCATTATCTTAAGGACATTACTTACGTTTGAATGTTAAGAGTTAAAAACGAAAATAGGTAAAGTGGGGTTTGGTGTAACAATTGAATATCTGTAAATTTAGTCATATTAATTATTACTTCATAATTCGTTCACCCATGTAGTGATTTTATTATTTATAAGAGTGAATTCTCAGTGACATGTTGATTATGTACTTGATTGATTGGAACGTGAGTGAAATACGAAACTGAATTTTCCAATCGTTTATTGCAAATAAGAATAACCAATTATTTTATTTATTTATTTGAACACTTAATCATTGGTACAAAGGGGCACCGAATACATATGCACCACACAATTCACATGATTTGTGAAACTATATGGGTATCCAGACCTAAGAAGATGGTTTTCTTAGGGGGCCACACCCGTAGCCTTCGACCTAAAGGTCTGATCCACAAGGCAGTGGGGCGACGTCAGGAGGTGCAGTTCCATGGTACTCGGTAACGAACAATACGTTCATACTCCAACTACTCTCTCAAGATCCTGGAGCCCATGTGCACCAAGGGTTTGAAATCAAAGTTTCGCAACTCCCTTGGTTGAAACTCCCATATCCACCAACCCGGTTAAAGCGCCGGTTATTCGCTTTTATTCCTCTCAATTTCGTAGATAACACACCGTCCGCGAGAAGGCAACGAGTAGGATTTCCCTGAAAGTGGTTGTTTATATGTGGTCATGTGAGAGAATTTGAAGAAGGAGAGCTGACTTGCCCCAACCTCGGCCGTAGCATAGCAGTTAGTGACTATGACTAATTATATAACTTAGTAAATTCATTAAAGCTGTTGTTTATGGTCGTGGTATTCTATAATATTGCAAACATGTATTCAGACAATAAATTATTATTGAATGAATTAATGTCAAGCACTGTTTAGTTCCAGTTTAACAAATTTGGATGTTAATTTAACTGTAAATAAATAACTTAAAAACTTATGTGTTCAGTTATCATTTTGATTTATTTCTGGTATCACCTACCATCTTTATGGTCTTGCTTATGACATCCAGTTCACTATTTACCTGTTCATATCAAGATTTTTGCAGTCGGTATTCGAAATTTTGATAACATAATCAAATTAGAGTTTTTTTGGTAATAATATCAGTTATTTTGTGGATTTTCAATTTTGAGATTATTGTCTATCTTAATTTTATACTGATGAGCATAACGTTTTTTCTCACATCATGCATTACACTGAACTAAATCCGTTTGTTATATTACTACCAATGATCAGTAATGAGTCAAATTAAACGATTGTACAAATATGTTATGTTCTACGTTACTTTTGACTGCCTCCATTAGAATATTGTTTTTTTCTCTGATTAGCGTTTATTTAGAAAGTTAGTTTTCTACAGGACTTCCTCCTTTATCCGGGCTTGGAACCGGCAGTAGCCCCAGAGGGGTCCCATTAGAATGTAGTTACAAAATAAATCTATATTCTTACATATCTTACAAATCTGTCTATGTAGAATTTTATTTCAAAGAAAAACCGAATATGATTACAATTTATGGATTAGAAGTGATATCATAATAGGTAACCGATTCAACTTTCGTCTGTTGTGTCATCGATTCTTTTAAGTACACGTGATGTGTAGGATCACAAACTTTTATATAAAAAAGTCTGGATTAAAATAGGTTACACAAACATGAATTTTAATGTATAGTTAAATATCAGGAAATATCTATCATGAATGAAATATATATCAAACATTGAGGAACATTGAAATGAATTTTCAATATGAGGAGGAATTGATTTACTGAGCATAAATTTGTGCATTGGCTTTGAGTAACAGTTTGAGTATAACAGTCAATGATACAAATCATCTCCTTAAAATGCAATAGGTTAAACGACGTTAAAACTTGTTACTTAGTGGGCTAAAATAGAATGTCTTAACCAATGGACCATTATTCTGAATTTCTTTTAATACATCTGATAGTGACCTTAGTATTTTTTAATAAATTAAACATTAATTCTTATTATAAACTGATATTACCCAATGAAAAGTACTCGAAAAGCGAAATAGGTTCATTAATGAAATATTTAGAAATGAGGATACTAATTGTATTCAGTCATTAAATTTGATTTTGTAGATAGTTTTCAATCCATCCAATCCTTTTAGGTTTTCCATGGTGGTCTAGGTTCTACTTACTCATTACTCATGAAAATTACTAAAATCTCCACAAAATCCCCCCTTTGGTAATAATCATTTGCTCACTAGCGACTGGCTTCAACAAGTAGTTCCTGGAGTTCTAGTGAGAAACGGTGACCAGTTGAGTTCAACCAGGTTTGTTGTGAGATAGTAACTCACTGAAGACAATGGTGGATGTGTCGCTCAATTTCGTAGATTGGTTGAAGTTAGACATTAACACTGTTGGATGCCAGGCGGCTCAGTGGCTTAGAGGTTAAGCGTTCGCTTGCAAGACTGATAGGTCCTGCGTTCGAAACTTGCGAGGCGGTATCATGGATGCACACTAATGAAGAGTCCCGTACTAGGACGAAACGGTCGTCCAGTTCTTTCAGGTTTTCAATAAATCCCCATGTTTCAAATAAAAATTTCGTCTATTATTCAACTGCATAATCCATCCATATATGAATTTCAATAGTTGAATTCATGAGTTAATTGAAGCTAGGCCACCATAGAAAACTTGAAAGCATTGAACAATCGTTTCATCCTAGTATGGGATTCTTCAGTAGTGCGCATCCACGATACCAACCCGTAAGATTCGAACCACATGACCTATTCATTTTTTTAAATCTTTTCTACTATCTAGATGATTAAAATGAAATCATATTTATGGTATGACATCACATGGGGTTTTCTTTCATTTTCAACATATACATAATTATTATAGATATTGGCAAAGTAATTATTCAGGTTAATTTTCTTTTCATTTACATTTATCCCTTACCTATCTTTCTCTCCTTCTCTCTTTTTTTGCTTCTATGCATACATACACCCACGTGAACAATTAAAATAAGAACCGATATACTTATCTAAAATAATTAAGATTATCAACTTGTAGATTGTAGACAAAAAATGTTTATACGTTCATATATCATATTATCTATAGATTCATGTATGTGTGTATGAATGACTTGTATAGAGGCGTTATATATCTTCATATGATAAGAGGATAGAAGTGAATCAGGCTACTTCTCTTCTCAATGAGTAGTTCATTGTCATCAATTGCTTGGAATATAAATTGAAGAAGTGAAAAATGAACAGAGCAATTATCTTTTCGATATTTTTTAAAATAAAATAAAAATAACTAATATCATAGTTTATTATGGAATAGGGAAAACACAGAAATAACATACATACAAACAGGACAGTAACTGAAATACTTTCAAAATGGAGAGAAAAGGAATATATTGATAGATTATCTTAGTTTTTATATTGCTGCGCACATACATAACACCACACCACCCCACCACCACTACCACCACCCACACACACATACACATACATACCTAAGTACGTACACAAAAAATCAGTAATGATAAGGGTTAATTATCATAGAAATAAACTAAAAATAATTTTTTTTTATACGGAATTATTTTTTATCATTTTTGTTAACTTGAATACATTTTACAGTGATTTAACACAAGCAAGAAACATTTGAGAAACCAACAAAAAGAAAGAAAAAACTTTTTAAGTGGTTAGTATTTATGAAATAATAAATTAAATTTTCGAGAAAGTGTTTACATTTGTATAAATTTTGTAACTTTTAATATGAATATCAATTCAGTAGTAGTTCAGTGATGAATGCATTCGCGTTCCGAGGAAAAGGTACTTGAATGACCTATTTGAATATATGGGCTACCTGTTCTTACCATCTGAATATTTCAACAAATTGTCTGTTTTGTTTGCTTGTTTTAACACATTATTATGCCAATTTGGTTGCATAACCTATTCAAGAGAGTTTGTGACAAGTTTACGACATTTCATTGTACAAGTTACATAAGAGCTCAATCAAAGACATCATGGTTGCTGGCAATATGTTAATTCATAAACTGTTAACATCTAATTGGCGACCACTCAATATTTATCTCAAGAATCGTTCGAGAAATAAGAAACGGAAACTTGTTGAAGTACTTTTTGCTAAGAATTCGATATTGTACCAAAAATATAAAATAATATAATAAAGCCAATAATAACAATAATAATAAACCGTAATGTAAACATCGACGCTGTGATGCAGGCGTATCTAAATATAATAAAATTCACATCCTCGTTTCTGTCGTTAGCTACTATCGAACTTCATTTGAATTTCATGGAGTGATAATGTGGGTTTTCTAAAAAATATAAGGTATTGTTAGGACTAAAAGGTGTTTTATTGCTAAGAAGATTATTGCCAGCTGATTTAATTTTTCATAGTTTGAATTACAAATTGATCTTATTTACAACATCATTGAAAATCTGGAAACACTAGATGGTTGTTTCGTTCTAGTATATATTTACGACCCTACACCTAGAAAATCGAAATTAAAACCTTTGATCTACCTGAGCTGACACTTGATAGTTTGAATGTCTTACTTCAATAAATTTACGATATTGCGCAACGCTGATCCATTTCATCAACCATGTCGTATTTGAAACAGCTACTCATCACATGCAGTGAATGAGGGCTACGCAATATCATAAATTAATTGAATCTAGACATTAATACCATTAGATATCAGATTAGTGGTCTAGAGGTTAAGTGTTCACACGTGAGATCGACAGTTCTAGGTTAGATCCTAACGCGTGGGTTTGTGGATGCTCACTGTTAAGGATATCCATACTACAACGAAATGACCATTCAGTGTTTACTTGTCTCCAATGCTGGTCTAGGTAAAATCAGTTTAATCTAAATTGAAAATCCTACAATATTCACAAATCCCCTTATATAAATGATTAAAATTTTTATTGAATTGATTGACATTGTGCATATCATTTATTTCTAGCCTTTCTGACCAATTAAATTTGCATAATCTCAACAGTAATATAAGAAATGCTTCAAAAACTCTATTTCATAAATTGTATCCAGTTAATGATAGATACACTATAAATACATTGAAATAATTGGTATTTGTTGTTGTTCAGAATGACACCTTAATGTTCAAGTTAAAGAATACTATATTCGTACATTACTGTAAAGATTAAAAGTTCATTTAATATAATGTTATGAAGTGAAGAAATCTTAACTATAAGGAATAAATTGATACATACAATTAATCAGCCACTAGATATGGATCAATATCATCTATGTCGAATACTTATCATTGATCGAATACTACAAATCAATCTACGACCCGAGTAGCTCGGTGGTAACATTTTTGACTATGATATATCGATGTGTCATGAAGTGGAACTGATGACGAATTATTAGTTTAAAGATAACATACTGATTATGATGTTTGATCGCAGATTTTTAATGGGTCTTATATTAAGATGAAACAACTTTTTAAATGCCTTTGATCTTCATTAATAGTTTGGTTAACTATTCAATTAATGTTCATAAAAATACTAATTAACAAGTGGACTTTGATTTATCGATTATTTCACAAATAACAGAGACAATTGATTCATATCCATGTCATATATGTACCAATGACCTTGACCCATTGTACTTACTCTATGACAGTATGCTACTGTAAAACAGTAATAGATACTAAAATGAATTACATCAATTGTTTTTATTAGTGATAGATAGTAAAAGAGACTGAAAAAGACTATGATTAGGTGACTGGGTAGGTGGTAAGATAGTTGTATCTTTTTGATTGTGAGTAAAAAATATTTGATGGAAGACAATTTGTCCCCGGATCAATCAACTGCTGAGAAGATTTACTCATAAGAATATATATATATATATATATATATATATATATATATATATATATATATATATATATATATATATATATATATATATATATATATATATATATATATATATATATATACTCTTTGATCATATGAATATGCTAGAATATGTTCTTTAAAATCACAGACATACATTTTGAGCCCGCATCATCTTCAGAGGTGTATGTTATGAAAACAGAATTCAGTGTACTTGATTGATTAATTATTCTGATTGTTATTTATCCTCTATGTATGTGTCATTAGTAGTTAAATATATGATTGAACATTTAACAATTGTTTAAGCTAATTATAATCTAGTGTTAAGTAGTACACAGGGAATTTTAATCTTCAACAATGGATACAATATTGTCAAACTATTAAAATGAGTTTTCACTGGATTGTACACTTTCTTCTTGATTCTGTTGTTTTTCAAAATGAACTTTAAGTGGGTAACGAAAGACTAACAATTAGATAACATTCAAATCAATCATACTAGTGTGGTAGTAACACAGTAAATGAACGGAGAAATGCTAGAAAGTGCTAGATATCTCACTCATATTGAATTCTGAATAAGGCTTTTCATCTGCATACTTGGATTCCTATCTAACAATAAGTATAACTTGTTACTCAGGAAACAATGACTAGATAGTTTATATATAATTTTTGTTATTTTCTTCTGTTCGTTTTTCTACTCAAAGGTTAAAATCTGGTTTCAAAATAAACGTTCCAAATTGAAGAAAATTCTACGTCAAGGACAAGATCCTACAGCATTTCTTAATGGAACAACGAATGATACACCTGAGGATGATCAAATGGTAGGAATATTTTTTTGTCTATAAAAAACTACTTATATTTAGTCACAATTACAAATTGAAATAAATATAGGGCTATTTTCAATTACTGACTAACATGTTTAAATGTAGCGTTGAGCTACTTCTGTTTAAGTGTCGGATAGTATCATCCAATTGGTACCTATAAGTTGATTAGAGTTTTATTTTCGGCAAGATTCATTTTTATGGAATGGGGTAACTAAATCGTGTTTAAAACAGGCAATAAACCTAAAAGGGCTCTCTAACTGAACTATATAAATGTGCATTTCATAAAAATGACTTACATGTACTTATCAAGGAACATAACAGTTATTAGGAATATGACCAAAATCGTTATTAATGTTTACAAATTTGCATTTTAGTTATCGTAACGTACAATCTAACAACAGTAACAATCATAATTATTCATAAACTGATTTACGATAGTAGTTTGATGCATATCATAAATCCACTATAACAGTTATGAGAAACCGCACATGTAAGAGGGGAATCGTGATGTCAGTCGGTCAGTCAGTAACAACGTAGAACTTCGTACGTATTTACATCAGTTTGAGTTGCCATACCACATTAGCACAGAGATGCAGTTGTAAACTAAAATCCCATAGTGGTAGAGGTAGCGAGAATTTAAGCAGTAATCAGAAAGATTAACGTTTAAAGATGTTATTCAAGGAGTATGATACAGTGAAATAAATTTGGAAAGAGGAAAAAAGGATATGAATAATTCAGAAGATTAGAATTTGGAAGAATACAAATAATGGATGCACCTGCGCCATTGCAAACGATTTTGAGCCATGTCATTCAGGGTCTCTAACCATCGGTTGCTATCATCTTGCGGGTGTCCGAAACCAGGTAGTCTACACCTACTAACATGGTTCAGTCCACTTGTCAGTGACTTCATGCATTTGTGCTATGTTTTGATCTGGTTGCCCCTGGCTTTCTCCTAACTTACTCCTATACCGTAAAACATAGCACGTCAAGGCAGTCGGTGGATGGGCATACGTAACACGTGTCCCAGCCATTTCAACTGATGAAGTTTCACCACTTCATCAATTGATTTGCCATCCTTACCTAGTACCCGTTTCCTAACAACTGCGTTACTTACTCGGTGGTCCCAGGATATACGAGCAATGTTTCGAGGACACCTATTATAAAATACTAGTAACCTACAAATATCCTCTACTGTTACCGGCCATGTTTCACTGATATAAAGTAGGACGGGACGAACTGCTGAGCAGTAAACACGTCCCTTGGTTGATAGACGGATATCTCGCCTACGCCATAAATGACGCAAGTTGGCAAAAACTAGTCGACCCTTCTGTATCCGTGCTGAGATCTCGTCACACACCAGACCACAAGGGCTGATGAGACCTCCAAGATAAGTGAAGCGGTCGACACACTCAACTACTTCACTCCCTATCACTAGTTCGGGTGTCGATGCAACCCAATCCTGAAGTCACATTTTGCATTTCGAGGAAGAGAATCGCATCTCGAACATGCTTGCATTGTTGCTTAGAGTGGTCAGAAGACTCTACATTTTGTCAGCGTCTTCGTCAAATAAAACTATGTCATCAGCATATTCTAAGTCAACAAGTGAACCTCCCGGTAGAAGTTCGACCCCTGGAAATCTAGACGAGGAAAGTGTTGTCTCTAAAAGTACGTCAACGACAAAGTTGAACAAGAATGGAGAGAGTGGACAGCTCTAACGAACACCAATTGAGGTAATCAATTCTGATGACAGTTCGCCATAAGTTCTCACTCGACCAGTTGTGTTGGAGTAGAGAGCCTTTACAAGGTTAATGTACTTCTTTGGTACTCCTTTCAATGACAAACACTGCCATAGAACCTCACGATCAACGGAGTCGAATGCCGCCTTAAGGTCGAGAAGTACTACAATTGTGGGGCGTCTGAAAGTTTCTATGTCCTAGGACCTGACGTGGTGTGAATATATTGTCTTTACAACCACGTCCATGTCGAAAACCAGCCTGATTTTCGCTTGTCTGTTCTTCACAAGCTTTAGTTAGGCGTCGAAGTATGATTGAAGCTAATATTTCAGACACTATATTAGTCAAGCTGATTCCTCTGTGATTGTCGTAAGAGGACTTTTGTCCTTTCTTATAGACTGATACAATCAGTGATTGAGACCAGTCAGATGGGATTACGTCCAGTTCCCATATTCTACCTGAGACCCCAGTCAATTTCTCTGCTAATACTGAACCACCATCCTTAAAAATCTCAGAAGTAAACCTGTCAGGGCCTGCTACTCTCCCTCGCTTGCTTTTTCAACCTCGTGAAGAGTCGGAGGACTTACATTAAATTGCCGTTCGGGTCGACTGAAGATCGTCGATTGTGAAATCTTAAGATTACACAAACTTTTGAGTAGATAACACTACATATCTTAAAATATAATAAACCATTTTTCATATCTCGATAAGTAGAAAAATTGTATTTCCGACGTTTCGTAGCTTAACATAAGCCACTTCTTAAGATTAAATGAATAACCGAAAATAGTATTTATCATTAGCCTTCTATCCAGTGCTCAATTTATTTGAAACTATTAAGTAATATATATTAATTTTTAGTGGCTTAAACTCACTTCAATGTTTTTCAGTGATTTCACAAAGTTTTGTGCCTATAAAAGACTGATCAATTGTAGTCCTAAACATCAATGGGAAGATTCGAACAAACGATACAAAAGAAATTAAGTTTTGTGTACTGTTTTGTTTGTTCTTTGATTTATGGATACCTATAAACTATGATTGGAAACGAAATACGACATGGTTAAAACTAGGTAGGGTTGGAGGAGTTGAGTTTTAAGCTCATTATATAAATACCGCTCATTTTATTTTATGTCTGAGTCTGTCTAATTTACCACCGAAATATGTATTAGCACTGCTTTAAATGAGTTAATTGTTATAAAACTAAGATTGTTGTAGTAATTTTTTGAATGTTTAATGTATGATATTCCGTTTATAGTTATTATAAAGCTTCTTTTAAATCATGAACTGATCTAAGACAACTGGTAAAATTAGTAAGCACTGGACGGTCATTTCGTCGTAGTATGAAACCCTTCAACATTGCGCATCCGCTACCTCGCATCTGGGAATCGAACCCAGAACCGGTAGCACCAGTACCCTCAACCTGTAGACCACTGATCTGGTATTCAACGGTGTTAATGGCTAACTCCGCTTAATCCACAACATTGCTTGACAGTTTTCCATTGTCTTCTTTTATGAGAATAGCTGAAGAGTCTGATGCAAGAACGAAACGGTCATCAATTGTTTCCAGGTTTTTCGTGGTTGCGTAGATTAGATCGGTTCATGATTTAACTGAAATTCAACAATCTCCACCACTATGTACTGACTAATAAAAAGTTATTCCAATCGAATTTCTTGCATGAAACAACTAATCGACTCATGAAAACTCGTCTGACTAGATGTTCTAAATATGATTTGCACTTTATTTATACTTTATTTTCAAAACCGATGATTCCTTCCATATGAGAAATACTTACTTTTTGCTTCCACTAATCTTTAGGGAAGTGATTATGAAGAAGATTCACATTCGTTGAATTGTGGCGACACATCAAAATTGTCATCCGATCAAATTGAATACAACAGTCATCATTCACGTATTCCACATTCCATACAGTCAAATCCTCAACATTTTCATTCAATTAACCAAAATGAAGATTTAGAATTTAATAAAAATAGAACACATGAAATGAATACCTTTCAGAAGAACATAGGAAGAACTAATGATTATGATAAACGATTTTTTCCTTTAAATAATAGTAATGCAAGCTGTGAGTTATATTTAAAGTCAAAATTTCCACCTCATTCTAATGAGTCCATGAATCAATTAACTGATGATGAAGCTATTAAAATTTCTACTCATCAATATTTAACATACACTGCACCTAAATTAATCAGTGAACACCATACGAATACTTTTATTCAAGCTGAAGATCACGTACCAGTTAATAATATTCAAAATCATTTATTAACTGAACAATCAAATAATGTAAGTTGTAATCTTTCATCACATTCCCTTTCTCAATGTAATACTCATTCATCGAAATCTTCATCACCATATTCCGATGGTAAACAACAAAGTTATTCAGAAAATATAATTCATAATGATGAACAATGTTCACATAATTCATGGTCTTCATCACTTCCTACAATCCAACAAAAATCTAATTTAGATGAGAACTGTTCAAATTTACAAAAGAAATCTGACTGTTCAACATATCATACAAATTCTAATTGGACTTCTGTAAACAATCAATCAATTCATGGTAAATCTGATGAAATTAATCTTGATATTCAATTACCACCGTCATGGTTACCAAGTTCAATGAAGAATTATCAACCTACTGAAATTTTAAATACAGTATCTACAGAAAAATGTAAATTATTCAGTGAACATGAAGATCCAATTAATCAGTGGTGTATTGATCAGCCTAATTTAAAACCACAAGCTGAATCAACTATAATCGAAGTTCCATATGAATATACCTATTAACTCGTAATATATATATATATATATATATATATATATATATATATATATATATAAGTGTATTGGATGAACGTACAGTTGTACTATAACTCATTTAGTTACATAATGTCAAATAGATATTTATAAATTATTTATGTATTTCACACAGCGCCAACACAAAATTAATGCACATAACATCTTTATCAAAGTAAACATATTGATAATTGCTGTCTCACAAACAAATTTGTCGTACTTTCTTGTCATATAACAATTACTATTCAATGTGCTTTTTAAATTGGCATATATATTCGAAAGAAAAGAAAGAATAACCTATTCGAGTTAAACAAGAGTGAATAAACAGGTCATTCATTCCGATAACGATATCTAATGAAGTGTTGTGTTATTCTTTCCCAGTAAAATTGAAAACGTAATCCCCTCATCTGATCAACTATTGTTCTTTCTCTTTCTTACTCTTTTTCTAAAGGTATACGTATATTGACCGTTTGTTAATTAGACTATACTCATTGTTTATATACTTGATACACATTGTTAACCATGATAACATTCTATTGATTAGAATGATACGATACTATGAGGAAACATGATATTAAAAGAAAGTAGAATAGTTTTTATTTATTTTTTCTGCACTCACCTTTCTTCATTGTGAATTTCATCTTTTATCATTGTAAATAAAATAAAAAGATTATATTGCACAATGTTAGTTTCAGTTTGAATTATATTTTGTTTATATATCCGATCCACTTCAAATAATTCGTAGTTGTTGCTTGGATCAAATTTGATAAAGGATCCGAAGATAATAATACTAGCGGAAGATTGTAGATTTGACATTCTCAAAGTCTATTTTAATTTGGACAGCCTAATACAGTTGCTGATCCTCATAAAGACCGAGTATAGGAGAGTCAGCTATCCCTCTCCAAATGCTCTAACATGACCACACGTATGAAACTACTTCCAGGAAAGTCCTATTCATTGTTTTCTCGTAGAGGTGTTGTCTACGAAGTTGAGAGGACGAAAAGCGAATGACCGGGGCTTTGACCGGGTTAGTGGATATGGAGGATCCAACTATACGAGTTGCGAAACCTGATTACATTCCCTTGGTGCAAATGGAATACAGGATCGTGAGAGAGCAATTCAAGTATGACCGTAATGTTGGTCACCGGGTACTATGGGACTGCACTTCCTAACGTTGTTCCACTGCCTTGTGAATTAGATCTTCAGCTTAAGGGCTCAATGAGTGTTCTCTTGAGAAAACCACCTCTTTCGATTTGGGTGCTCTAGCAGTATTTCAGCTCGGACATATATCGAGCGATTTGTGTGGTGGATATGTATTCGGTGCCTTCTTATACCAATAAATAAAAGGTCGAGTGTATAAATAAGTTAATCAAAAACAGGCTTTGGTTTAATAAATGATAGTCGTTTGAATTATGTTCCTAATGTGTTTGGTGAAATTTAGCTTTGATTGATTGCTAAGCGAAGACAAATATGTCCACTGTAATCTGTTGAGTGGATTACTTCTCTTTAAATATAACACTGATTTCTACTTGAGTTTTCTTTGTGTGTGGGGACTGAGAGTACTTGTGTTAGATAATGCATTGGCTAGCCTATATTCCGATTCTCAATAATTTCTTCGGAAATCGTATATCTGTCTCTGAGATGATCCAATCTATTGGTCTTATTATTTTGTATCTAGTGTATCGAATGAGTGTCTGGTTTAGCGTTCAGACTACCAGACTTCATGATAGGATCAAAATAACTATTAAATTCCTCCATCATATCAGTTCCACTGTTAAAATCAGTGTGTTTACTTTCAACATCGTTTGCTGATTCTTCGGAGAAGAGTTTAAGTAAGGACTTGTGTATCTGTAACAAGATTAGGGATATCACCTGGCAAAATTCCTTACTAAAATTAACCTATTCAATTGATTTTGGGAAAATCAATACATGTAAATGTCCCGAGTTCGCCTCAGTGACATCTCATAAAAGCAGTTTAATCTAATGCTCAACTTTTTAACATACTAACGGATATCACTCATAAGTAGCTTTACCACAATAAACCTCAGGCTAAACTTCATATCTAGATTTGCTTTGTTAGTATATCGGATACACTTAGGAACAAACTATTATAACTACTTATTGTCTATTTGCATACTATTTATACATTATTTGTTCTGGTCATTTGAGTCTTGGTAACGTTTTGACTTAAACATGAAGTATACTTTCTTTGAGTGATTATACACTGATGATTGAGTGAACAGTCCCACGACGTTGAGATGTAAATTGGTAGTAGACGACAGGAAACCCCTCTTCACTTACGTTTTGCACTATTTGCTCTATGGGGATTCGATCCAATGTCATCCAGCTTTACAGATTGAGACGTTACCATAGAGCTATTCGGGACGTGACTGACTACCTATAGAACTGAGATGCATCTACAACTCACTGGTCACTGAGTGAGTAGTGACCAATATCATGTCTGTCAAATTCTTCTTAGTTCTGTTTGAGTACTATCTATAGAGTTGCAATTTGGCCATTAGTTCAGGTGACTCTACACTGCCAGGGATCATCAGTTCCTTCAAGACTACAGGTACACCTTACTGACGAGTGGCAAAAAACCTGAAATCTAGGTGAATAAAGTTATCCTGTTAACTACATTCAACCACAACCATACATCTCAAAATAGTGCACGAGATATCGAGCCATTTAGACTACTGGCCACATCACAACTCAACTCATAAAATTGCACTGATCTTATTTTTTTTTAATAATACGACATTTTATAATCGAAATCATAAGTCTACAATCTAATAATTTAATTCTTTAGACTTTACTAGACAGTTTACGTTTGAGCAATCTGTATGACGACAATATAAATTTAATTTGACCTCGACCTTTGTGAGTTTGAGTAATTCATTCGTTGTCAATAATTTTATTTATACCGAAATGGTGTTTTTTTAAAATGTCTAAATATTTTCAGTAGGTCAAATAAAATATGGAAGGTTTTTACACGTCAAATGGAGTTGATCAACTGGTATTGTTGATCATTTCCTACAATGATTTAAGTGTTAATTTTAATAATAAAGTGAATTATTTATTTAAACACATAAACATTGGTACAAGGAGGCACCAAATACATATGCGTCACATAGATCATTCGATTTGTGTGAGGGCTGAGATACTGCCCAGGTGCCCAGACCGGAGCAGGTGGTTTTCTTAGGGGCCCACACCCTGAGCCTTGGACCTGAAGGTCTAACCCACAAGGCAGGTAAGTATCGTGAGGAGATGCATTCCCATGGTAGCCGATGACCAACAATTGGTTCATACGCCATTTGTTCCCGCAGGATACTGGAGCCCATGTGCACCATTGTTTTGGAATCCGGTTAAAGCACCGGACATTCGCTTTTCGTCCTCTCAATTTCGTAAACAACACCCCCGCCACGAGTAGGCAGTGAGTAAGACTTCCCTGGCAGAGGCTGTATACGCGTGGCCGTGTGAAAGTATTTCAAGAGGAAGGGCGGGCCCATCCCACTCTCGGCCATACCAGTGCATTTGAGGGCAATTAACACTACATTGATAACTAATATGATCTAAATGATTAAGAATTAAACTCAATAGTTAGACAATAGTTGTAATGAATATCGAATGATTTATGGTTTCCATATCCTTCAATAAATTATTTGTTATATCACTTGTGATCATGTCTATTCCTGTGTTTAATATTTTATATGTAAGGATGTTATATTGGTAGGAAAAAGCTGGTCAGTAATCTTGTCTTCTAATTCTATCCAATTAGAGACTTACGTGAGTAGTTATCACTTGACTATATTTTATCATGGGATAGTATTCATCAATCAGTTCATTACATTCATATTTTCGTTATAATTCATAAAATTATATCGTGTTGTTTAGATTTTAATCATCTAATTCAATCTAACAAACCGATAATTTTGTCACAAATTTAAGTGACTCGATATGATGTGCCTTTACGTTTTAGTGTTGGGTAGTTAAAAGTAGTCGCCTGAAAACCGTGAATATAGTATTCGTGCTAGCTGGTATTTGTTATAAAAATATATTCGTAGTGGTAAACGAAACCAATGATTATCGTAGGGATTAAACCATCAGTATCGGTTCACAGTTCAAAATATTATCAACGACCAATTTCTAGTTAAAAACTAGAACTTTGTTAAATAGTTTATGTGATTGTGAAGAATATTTATAACTCAGAATGAGGATGTTGAATGTATCTCATTCTCTGAGCTGGATAATTAGATTAATCGAATGCGAACTTTCATTTTGTCGTCTGTTCAAAGTACTATTATGACCGAATTGTTTGATGCAACCTCATACTTGAGGGAATATTTAAACTTGTAACTATCATTGATCAACATTTTTCACTAGCCAAGTCATAACCTAAATGAAAAGGTATTTAAAAATGAACCTACTAGTAACTTACGTGTACTAGTTTAGATTAATTTATTTAAAATTTCTTAGACTTTAGCCTTAGATGTTTATTTGTGTAATCCTTCAGTTATGTAATCGAAATAACCAAATATTGTGTCAATAATATAGATCAATTGATTACAACATTGATTACTTACTCATAGGATCAATTAATGCACATATGACATTCATCCTACTGGAAGTCATTCATTTCTGTCTATTCTACTGAGTCATTTTTGCCCGACATCTTTTACACCACAGTACGTGTTGTATATAGCAGAGCTGTGGTTCTAAGTATAAATGATCAATATAAGCATATGAAGTATAAGATAGTTCGTTATATTAATCAGGCAAACATTTTCCCCCATGAACAAATCCATACCGTAATGTGCTTTAGAACTTATCATTAATCTAAAATTAAATCAGAATATTTTGGAGATTGAATACCAATAAAAAAATATAAGTTTTAATCACCCAATTTTTAGACCATTTGGTTGATATCCTCAATTGGTATTTCAGTGATTGGTCACTGAGTAGTGATAAATATCATTTTTCTCTAACCCTTT